GTTAGGGCAACAACATATTTTTTTAAAAAGAATTAAAAAAGGGAAAAAATCTGAAAGGAAAGTCATTTCAATAACGATGCTGAGAAAGTTAGGTATCCATCTGGAATGAAATAAACCTTGACTTCTAACTTTGGATAAACCATCAAATGACCTTGAACTAGCTCCTAGAGCTAAGTACAAAAGCTAACCCTATAACGCTCAGGAGAGACATGGAAACACTGTTCTCAGCCTCAGAGTAAGTACAGATGTCTTGGAAAGCACGCATGCACACACACACACACACACACACACACACACACACTAATGAATAAAACACACATTTGATAAGTTGGAATTCATGACAAAATTTCTGTTTTTCAAGAGACTTTACCACGGAGACATGGGCTCAGGAGTCTGCTTTCATCTCAGCCGGCAGCAGCGTGCGTGTCGGTGGACAATGCTGTGGCTGTGGTGAGAGCAAGCGGGGCCGATCGGAGCCACGCTGGGCAAGCAGCCAGGGCTCTGGGCAGAGAGCAGGGCCGGACCATCCGGGGGCCACGGGACATGATGCGGAGAGCACGGCCCTGTAGACACGGCCGCCCAGGCTCCGGCCCCTGCAGGCTAAGTCAGTGCCGTTGGTTTGGGATTATCTTCTATCTGATCTGTAAATGTCTCTTATAGACGCCTGGACTCGAGAATCCTGAGCATTACAGGGTGTTATGTTTGCTCCTGCCTGAGCACCTTCCCCGGCAAGGAGCTGGTCTGGGAGGTGTTTCCCCCTTTGAAAGGGACCCACCGGCTGGGCTGGGAGCACTGAGCGCTTCTAATGGCGCTGCAGCTGGAAGAGGCCCAGCGTCTTGCTTGGACGCCTGGGCTGCCAGAGACGCTGAGCTGGCAGCGGGTCAGTGCACGAGTCCCAGACAGTTGTGCCTCTGAGCGCAGAGCAGACTGCGGGACTCCCGCGTGAGGGGAATTCTTGTGTAGAGAGAGCGGAGGCTTCACTCCTGGGGGGTGGGGGGGGGGCACATTTGGGAGCAGTGACTATGGGACAGAAGCCACTCAGCCCAGCACCATGATGGGGCCTCGGGGGCTGCAGTAGCCTCGGGCCACTGAGGAATGTTGCTGTGGCTGAGCTCCATCAGGGAGCCCTGCTATTGTCTGGGCTTTTGAATTTGCAAGTGAGAGAGAACTCCGGTTCCAGCCAGCTCGGGCAGAGAGAAAGCTCTGCTTGGGCGACGCAGACCCATTCACCCCGGTCACGGTCACGCTAAGCACGTCTTCTTGTCTTGCTTCCAGTTTCTGCTGTGCTGTCGCCACTGCAGGTGGAGCTACCATTCGGGATGCCCCTGGGAGGCCCAGCCTTAATATTTCATGAGATCCACGTCCCAAGAAAAACACGTTTGCTCTCAGATGGTTCGAGCAGAAGTCCGAGGTCTGGCTCTCACAGTATAAATCAGACAGCAGGAGCGTTCCTGAGCCACCGACCCTGGCCACGCGACGGCCATGCTGGCAGGACCTGCCCCGGCCCGGCCAGCTCTGCCTGCGAGCAGGTGGCTGCGCGTGGACAAGGACTGGTTCTCCAGGGAGCATTTGCAGTGAGAAGAAAGAGAATGGCTATTGGGTGGCAAACATTTCCGCACAGTCAGCACGAGCTGCACCCTGCTGCCTGCACACAGTCTCCATTGCAAGTAGGCCCGGCTCCCTCGTATCTGTGGGGGACTGGTTCCAGGACTCACCTCCCCGCAGTTACCAGAATCCCTGGAAACTCAAGTCCCTTATATAAAGGGTGTCGTATTTGCATTAACCTACACACATCCTCCAGATACTTTAAATATCTCCCGATTCCCTATAATCCCTACTGCCTGGTAAATGCTGTGTAAGTAGTTGTCCCATCATATTGCTTAGGAAACAATGACAAGAAAAAGTCTGCACAGGTCCAGCAGCGATGCAAACATCTAGGCCTAACTAGTCTGCAGCAGCAACGTCAAAGGTTCCCCCAAATATTTTCCATCCGGGTTGGTGGACTCCGCGTGGATGCAGGCCCCGTGGGTAGGGAGGGCCAACGGGGTGAATATAAAGAAGTAAACTTCTGATGAATGAATAGAAACAGTATCTTTGGGGCAAAAGGAAGGAATACGATCTGAATGCAGCCTAGAAGGCGGCTTTGGTATCTTTGAAAAAACATACTCCAAGAATACAAATTAGTGACTGGGTTTCGACCTGGAGTCAAGGGGGCAGTGATGTGCTGAGTGGTCCCAGGCGTGGCCACAGCACCTCCAGGCTCATTCCTTAAAGCTCTAGATCAGCGGTCCTCAACCTTCCTAATGCCGCGACCCTTTAATACAGTTCCTCATGTTGTGGTGACCCCCAATTTCATTGTTACACATTGAACATAATTAAAGCATAGTGATTAATCACAAAAACAATGTGTAATTATATATCTGTTTTCCGATGGTCTTAGGCAACTCCTGTGAAAGGGTCATTCGACCCCCAAAGGGTCGCGACCCACAGGTTGAGAACTGCTGCTCTAGATGGAACGAATGTTGGCTGGCAAGTTAATTTACTGGAAGTAGAATGAGAATCACCCCAAAATGGACCACGCCGAGTAACTTGCTGTAAGAATAAAATAGAGCTGATTACTGGGTGCCTAAAACCAACTCCACGAGTGCGGTGGGGAAGCCTGGCCCGCAGTCACGTTCTGGTGGGCACCTGAGTCACCTGTCCCCTGACTAGTGATGGCGACCAGGTGTGCAACCCCTCAACCCTCAATGGACTCCTCAAAGGACTTCTTTCTTACAGAAGAGAGGGGGTGACTCAGATGCAGAAGCCATAGCAGAGCAATAGAACAAGAATTGTTCATGGCCCAGAACAACCGGAAATTCCAGGCTGCCTTATGCCTGGTGGTGAAAGAATGGAGTTTCTCTTTTTAGCTGGAGACAAAACCTAATTTGCATATTCCTGGGGGGGGGGAGAGGAAGTGCCTGGGAGATGGGGCAGAGGGCAGAGGGAGGGAGCGCTGCAGGATTATTCTGGGAGACTGGGCCAGGTGGGGGAGGGCCAGGGGATGGAGACAAAGGCAAGATCCGAAAAGCACTTGGTGTCCTGTTCGTGATTCTCCTTTAATTCATCCCATAAACTTCCGTCATGGCCTAGCCGCGTGCCAGGGATGGCCCAGGAGCTGGATGCTGTGCGCACAGAAGTGACTGACAGTGAGAGCTGGCAGGGAGGGGAGAGGATAATTCCGCGTATGCAATGCCACCCTACACACGCCCAGGAGTAGAGATGAGGGGTTGGGGGGGGGGGCTGTTGAAGGCTCCCTGGGCAGTTTGATGGGGGGACTTGGCGGGAATGGAGCTGCCCCTGCTCCCTGGGCGCCTGACATGGGCAGAACCTGATCCCTGAGCAGCGGGCCTGCTCGTGTGCACCCACAGCAGCCTCGGAGCAGCAGCCATGGCTTCTCAGCTCAGAGTCCGAGGTCAGCCTCCTGCAGGAACACACAACCCCGCTGAGCCTAGATTCCCGGTGGACCTGGCTTCTAGTCCCTCAACCCCCAGAGGAAGGTTCACAGCTCTTCCTCTCCACGGGCTCAAGTTCAGAACTGGAGTTAAATGCGGCCTCGCCCAAGGTCACCAACACCACCTCTGCCACACGGTTCCAGGGAGGACCTCGCCTCGCCTTCCAGCTGCAAATCTGTTTCCCTCCATGTGCCTCCCACCCGGGGCGTCTGGTCTTACTTTCCCTCCCAGAGAACCCGCCCCTCTTCCTTCTTCCAGGTCTAGGACGGCTCCCACCCGGACCCTCCTCCTCCAGGCCAGTATGCGTGTGCCCCGCTCGGGCGAACATACATCGAGCCCCTGTTGCGGGTTGTGCGGTCTAAGCGCCTGTACACTGTTAAGTCCCAGGGCCTCAGTGCCTGCTGGTCCAGGCCTGCATGGCCACTGGGGCCTGTGCTCCATGGAGTGGGTCATGTGGGGTCTGCTGAGCAGGGGACGGTGGGGGGGGGGAGCTGCCTCTAGCCTTGGGGAGGCAGAAAGAGAGTGAGGAGGGCAAAGGCAGAGGGACGGGAGCCTCCCAGAGGCCTCCACCCACATGGCTTTGTGCTCTGGCCACCGCCTCCTGCCTTTTATCTGGTGTCAGGAGCAGCAGGCTCCCGCAGCCTCCAGGGGCCGCCTGTGCCTCCTAGCACCTAAGCCTGGTTTCTCCATCATAAGGGGCGAGGAGGGAATTGGGGGGAGAGATTCCTTGTTTATGCATCTGAGCATCTCAGTGACTCCAAGACTCGGGAGTGGGAACCAGCGCCCTGGAAACAGATAACTCCCAGAAGTCCCCTTTTAGGGGTTAATGTGAACAGTTGCCTATTTTTCCCCCTTTACCCCAAAAGGTAGCACATTTCTAGACCAAGATCCAAGGATCAAAACACATCTGAGCCACGCAGGCCTCTGCCTGAGGCCCCATTCCAACCAAGTTTCTGTTGGCTCAGGAAAGAGTGGGCAGCGCAGGGGAGGCTGGGGGGGGGGGGGCGGGGGGATGTGGAGTTGGGGGGCCTGGGGGCGGGGGGAGATAGGGAGCTGGGGGCGGTGGGGGGGGATGGCGGATGGCGGAGATCCGGGAGGGACCTGGGTGGGTTGAGGAGTTCCTTCCTCGCAGTTTCTGAATGTAAAGGGGAAACTCTTAGCAGCTCAGCAAGGTAACTGGGCCTCCGAGTCCCACAGGGAAGGCAGGCAGCTCAGCGTTTCCTAAGGAGGCAGATCTGAGCTGTCCTCAGAGGGAGAGCCGAGGGGGCCGATCAGGAAGGAAGAAATGAAAGGAAAGAATAAAAGAGAAAATCCCAGTTGAGGGTCCAGAGGGAAGTGAGTGAGCGCAGGGAAGGAAGGAGGATGGCCAGGCTGCTAGCTGGCAGCGGAGTGGGGGACGCGGCCGCGCGCGAGAGTGACAGGTAGGTGCGCCCCCAGGTAGGGGAGCCGGTGGCAGGAGGTCCCCAAACCCCGGCAGCGCGGGCTGCGCGGCGGAGGGAGCGGGAGCGTGCGGAGCGGGAGGCAGCGCTGCGGGCTAGGCGGGCGCGCGGTCTCCGGGGCGGCCGGCCTCCGAGCCACTCGCCGGCCACTGCGCTCCGGGCGTCGCCACCGCCTCTGACGCCGCACCGCCCGGCATCCCAGCTGCGGCGGGAGAGCTCCCCGAGCGGCCGAGGGGCGGAGCCAGGTCCCGCCAGGGCCGCGACCAGGGATGAGCCGCGGAGGGCGGCACGGGCTCTGATGCTGATCAGGCCAGCCACTGCCGGCTGCGGGCGGCACGATGGACCAGCCCCCGCAGACGCCCTAGCCGGGTGCGTGCGCCGGGCCGGGCGGGGCGCGCAGGTGGGGCTGCGGGCTCCTCCGTGCGCCTTGCGCAGGTCCCCCGCCGCCCGGAGGGTGGGTGCCGGCGCCTCGGGGCTGCGCCCTCCGCGAGCCCGGAGCCCGACCGGAGCCCCGCGATCATGTACGTAGACTGGGCGCCCGCCCCGGGGATGGGGATGGGGATGGGGATGGGGATGGGGATGGGGATGGGGATGGGGATGGGGATGGGAATGGGATGGGGATGGGGATGGGGATGGGGATGGGATGAGGGCGCATGCTGGCTGTCCACTCCCTGGGCACCGAAGGCCTCCCTGCAGCTCGGGAGGGAGGAACGCCTCCTTCCCGAGTTTGTACATACCGGCGCCTTGCGCCAGCTGAGGGGCCCCAGCCGGGCTGAGTGAGCAGATGGCGCGCTTGACCGGAGCCCCAGAGAGCCGGCCAGGGGTGGGGTCCCCGGATCGCCGAGTGGGGGTAGGGTTGGAAGGGGAGGGTGGCTGGGGTGCCCGCACCCTGCGGCGTCTAGGGTTCTCTCAGCCCCTTTGGGCGGCAGGAACTTTGGGATCTAGAAAGGCTTTAGGGACGGGGTGGTGAGGGGGACTCGCCCCGCCTGCGCCCTCCACCCCCAGCTCCCCCACCGCGCGCTTTCGCGGGACCCGACCCCTGGCACCCGACCCCTGGCACCCGGGCTCCTCCGCCATGACCCCCTCCGGGGTGCAAAGCCATCAGAAGACAGAGCGCCGCGGCCCACGCGGGGTTCTCTCCCCGCCCCCCAAGTTGCTGGCAGCCTGCTGGGTGCTGTGGCCAGTGGGGGGCCAAGCTTCGGAGTCCCCCACCCTGCCGCGGGGGAGTCCACAGCCTCCTGGGCACTGGCCTGGGAGGAGGGCGGGAAGGGGGTCTGCCCCCGCCCCCCCCCACACACACACATTTTAAAAAGTTGTTGGAAATGCCCGGGGGGTGGGGTGGGGGGGTCCTGCTTAGCTGCCAGCGCGGTCTGGTCCCCGACTCTGCCAGGGAATTCCCCACTGGGACCCTCTGGGACTGTGGCCGGGACCTGGGGAGGGGCGCCCCGGGCTCCATCCAGGACCTGCCGGTGGGGGTGGGGGACGGGGCCCGGCTGGCGGCTTCCCGCCGCCCCACCAGCCGCCTGCTCCTCACGATTCTAGGAGAAACGCCGCGGGGTTTGTCTGGAACTTCGCTTCCATGTCCGTCTCCGCGTCGTGAGGCCTCAGGAGCCGCCGGGCTCGGACGCGGGGCCCCCGCCCGCACGGTCCTGCTCGCGCCCCTAGCGCTGCGGGAGCTGCGGGCCGGGCGGCGGGGCGGCGGGCCGGGCGCGGGCTCGGCTGAGCTGCTGTTCTCTCCGCAGGGACCACAGGGACGGCGGCTCCGGGCCCGCGGCGCGCCCCGGGGCTGTGAATGCGCCTCGCCCCGCGGCCACGCTCCCCGCCCGCCCGCCCGCCGGGACGCGGTAGGGGATGCCCCGCTCGGCGGCGATGGCCGGCGGCGCGCTGCCCGGCTCCCTCCTGGTCACCTGCTGCCTGGTGGTGGCCCTGTGCAGCCCGAGCATCCCGCCCGAGCAGCTGGCCCAGGCGCCCGAGCGGGAGCGGCCCGGCCCGGAGAAGCGCGAGCACGCCTCGCGGGAGGGCCCGGGGCGGGTGAGCGAGCTGGGGCGCCCGGCGAGGGACGAGGGCGGCGGCGGCCGAGACTGGAAGAGCAAGGGCGGCCGCGGGCTGGCCGGCCGGGAGGCGTGGGGCCGGCAGAAGCAGGCCTGGGCCGCCCAGGGCGCGGGGGCCAAGGCCGGGGACCTGCAGGTTCGGCCCCGCGGGGACACCCCGCGCGAGGAGCCCCCTTCTGCTGCCGCCGCCCGGGACGCAGCCGGCCCCGACCCCGCGCCCGCGACGGAGCCGCCCGACGAGTACGCGTACCCGGACTACCGCGGGAAGGGCTGCGTGGACGAGAGCGGCTTCGTGTACGCCATCGGGGAGCAGTTCGCGCCCGGCCCGTCGGCCTGCCCCTGCCTGTGCACCGAGGAGGGCCCGCTGTGCGCGCAGCCCGAGTGCCCGCGCCTGCACCCGCGCTGCGTCCACGTTGACACCAGCCAGTGCTGCCCGCAGTGCAAGGAGCGGAAGAACTACTGCGAATTCCGGGGCCGCACCTACCAGACCCTGGAGGAGTTCGCGGTAAGAGGCGAGCTGCGGGGGGAGCCGGCTCGGAGCGCGGGGAGCCCCGCTGGGGACAAGAGGCGCCCTCCGCTCCCCAGAGCTGGGCATCGCCGGGCGCCCCTAAGGCCACCTCTCCCATAGCGGCTGGCACTTGGCATTCGCCCCTTGGCCTTCCCGGGACCCGGCTTCTTGGGAGGGAGGCCAGGCTCGGAGGGCGCGGCCCACCTCCACTGGAGGCGCCTCTAAGGCGAACTTGGCTCTGGCTGCTCCTGTAAACTCCGGGCCTTGGACCTGCTCCGCCAGCTTACACACACGGCGATTCTCATGACAGTGCGGGCCATTGGGGTGTATTCTTACGCTAATAGCCAGTTAAGGGCGAGTATTCATCTAAATCAGCCGTTCCCCTGGTATGTGTTGGGCCCTCCTGAAAATATTCTAAAAATGGAAAGAAAACGCCTGCTCCTTGGCCGCCTGGACACAGTGGTCAGCAAAAACCCAGATGCCAGTGCAGGGGGAAAAACCTTCTCTTTTAGGTGAGAACGTGCCAGTGTGAGCCGCAGCCCCTCTGAGTGCCTGTGCACACCAGGCTCCGGGCTGGTTTTCAAACTCGGGTTCACGTAGCTCAACCTCATGCCATGCTGCCAAGTAGGTTACGGCTCCCATCCCCAGGCGTGGAGAAGAGGACAGTGAGCCACAGGATTGTTAAGTAACGTGATAAAGGCAGCACCCTCTTCAGAAGTAAACTCCTGTGTCCCGCTCAGCGGTTCTGCTCCGCTGCGCATGCAGCTACCCCCGTTCCCTGGGTCCCAAAGTCCAGGGAGGAGATGGAGATGCTGCCCAACACGCATGGGCTGGCCCCGAGTGACCTCCTGGCCCAGAGTGAAAGCCCTGCCTCCCCGCCAGGGGGCCTGGGAGACACCTGCAGGCAGTTCACCCATCCCAACCCCCCAGCGCAGGCGCAAGCCAGGCCTGCCTGGCCTCAGCCCATGGACTGGGAAGGCCAGAGATTTCCTGGCGGCGAAAGACATCCTGGGACCTAGAGCCCCTAAAGCTGGGCGGGAAGAGCAGGTGGGGAGGATCCTGCTGGTCCCCCAGGCCACAGCCACCGAGAAATGCAGATTTGGGGTGCGCCCAGGGTGGGCCTGCTTGTGAGGAGTTTTAGGATTGAACCCCTGATGCTGATGCTGTGCAAACAGGAAGCAGGGGGTATAGGTCTGTATTAAAGGAGGAAGTGTAGAAAGAACGCTGGGGTTCGGGGTCAGGAACCACAAGGTTCCATTCTGGCTTTGCAACAACCAGCGTACGACAGGGACCCCAGCCCAGGCCCCTCGCGGTGCCTTTATTCTTACCTGTGACATAAGGGGCCAGGCTGCCCAACGCCTCCTGGGAGTCGATGCTAAACCTGTCTGTCCTCACAGTCCTTGGTTTCAGCCCTTGGAGAAACAAAGAAAACTTTGGTGAGAAACTCCCACGGTCCGGGCCGGGCCACACCCCTGAGTCAGCAGGGCCCTGCCCTCACAGTGCTCCCCGAGTCCTGGGGAGCCGGGCAGACACCTGGGTGGTTGGGTGCGGCATTGAGGGCAGAGGTGGCCATGGGCGCTGGCGAGGCCCAGAGGAGGGACTTCCTGTTGGCCTGGGACAGGGCTGTAGTCAGGGAGGGACCCAATGAAACAATTCTCTTGAGGTTTCCGTTCATAAGAAAATCTAAGAGTCATAAGAGCAAAGACACGTGGTTAGTTTTGAATTATTAACGTGGATTGTTGCACTGTATGGAGTTCCATGGTCACTTCTTAAATGTGTCCCAGGAGGTGTAGGCGGAGGGGTTATTAGCAGTTTGATCTAAAATGCCCAACGCATCACGGAGCGGATGTCTGTTCCCCTGAAATCCCAGGTAGAGGAGACTTCAAACTCCTGTGCGGTGATTCCCTGCCAAGCGGTGGATGCCGCCAGCCTGCCTCTGGGTCCGGGAGGGGCTCCTATTTGACTCCTGCGTTCAAAGTGGGCCACTGAGTGGAATGTGTGTCACACTCCACAGGTGGGAGATGGGGCAGCAAAGGGGACTTTGGAAAGAGGACCGTCTTGGGGAAAATGAAAGGCCCAATACCCTATTTTTAGAGCATGAACTGCATCTCTCCTCTCCAACTGACTCTTCGTTCTTCATTTTTATCTCAGAGAGGAAGGAGGAGAGAGAGAGGAGAGAGAGGAAGGAGCAGAGAGAGAGAGAGAGAGGAGAGAGAGGAAGAGAGAGAGAGGAAGAGAGGAGAGAGGGAGAGAGAAATATCAATGATGAGAATCATGGATCGGCTGCTCCTGCACGCCCCCCAGTGGGGATCAAGCCTGCAACCCAGGCATGTGCCCTGACTGGGAATCAAACCATGACTTCCTAGTTCGTAGGTCAGTGCTCAGCCACTGAGCCACACCAGCCAGGACTGACTCTTCATTGTAACTTCCGTCCAATCGCTGTCAGCCGTGAGCTGTCCCAGCAGGAATGTTGGGGAGCTGCTCGCGCCCTTAGCTCTGTGCCTGCCCTGCAGACGCACACTGCGTGCTGACTGCATTGCGGGATAGACCCTGCCTGCTCCTTCCTGTTAGCGTCGGAACATCTCCACGCGTTTCGCTAGCTCAGTGGGCTTTGTGTCCGTCAGCTGGTGGCTGTATTTTGGTTTCCCTTCGCGCCGGGAGAGGGGTGTCGGAAGGATGTCTGCGGAAGAGTCAAGGGTGAGCCCAGAGCCCACGGGGTCCCTGGTTTGCGACAATGGAGACTTGTCATGGTGCCAAGTGCCAGGACACAACCACTGCTCGCACGCCTGCTCTGGGGATCCTGGGCTCAGAGCAAGAACTCGTAGCCTGCGGGGCGCACGGCCCAGGGCGTATGGGAAACAGAGAGGAGCACAGGTCCTGCCTGGACCGCCGATGGGGGTACAATCTGGCCAGGCTGTGAGCACCGGTTCCTTCGAGTAGAGGGAAGGAGGGGAAGGGGAGGCTGCCCTGGGCCTGTTTCCCCGGAGGCACTGAGGCGCGGGCCGCCTGTTCTCTGCTTCTCCCCGGAGGAGGCTGTGGTGGGGGGGCTGTGGTCTTCGGGAGGAGCCATAGAACCTGTGCCTGGGAAGTGCCATAGCCCTGCCTTCGGTGCTTCTCCTTCTGGGGCGCATGTCCGCTGGCTGCCCTCTGCCCAGGGTTCCCTGTACTTCAGACCCGCCTGCCCCACCTCTCCATGTCCCTCACCCCAGGGGGACCCATCCCTCACAGCCTGGCTGACCTCACTCCTGTACCAACCAAACCCCACTAGGTACTGACGGCACTGAGGGGGTATCATTCGTCCAGGACGTGCGCGGCTTCGCTTGTTTGTCCAGCTCAGAACCCAGCCGCACGGAGGGTTTCCCTGCTGCCTCTCCCATCAGACCAGGCCCCGTGCTCACCCGTACCTGCAGGCGCCCAGCTCTGACAGGGAGGCCTGCCCGTTGGGTCACGTTGTTTAGGAGCGAGTGGTATGTCCACGCGCCGCCTGCCTCCCCGGGCGTGTGCCTGGGCGAGGGCTGCCCTGACCAAGTACCACAGCCAGTGGCTGGAGCTCGGGCAAGGCCTGGTGCACAGCCCTGCAGGCTGGGAGGCCGAGCTCAGCTGTGGGAGGGTGGGCTCCTCCCAGGCCTCTCCTTGGCCAGCAGGCAGCGTTTCCTCCCTGTCCTCAGCGGGCATCCCTCTGCACGTGCTGTGTCCTCGTCTCCTTTGCTTATAAGGACACTGGCCATGCTGGGTTGGGGCCAATTCCTATGACCTCATTTTAACTTCCTTACCTTAAAGCTGTGGTTCTCAACCTTCCTGATGCCGCGACCCTTTAATACAGCTCCTCATGCTGTGGTGACCCCCAACCATAACATTATTCTCGTTGCTACTTCATCACTGTAATGTTGCTACTGTTATGAATCGTCATGTAAATATCTGATATGCAGGATGTATTTTCATTGTTACAAATTGAACATAATTAAAGCATAGTGATTAATCATCAAAACAATATGTAATTATATAGGTGTTTTCCAATGGTCTTAGGCGACCCCTCTGAAAGGGTCCTTTGATCCCCAAAGGGATCGCGACCCACAGGTTGAGAACCGCTGCCTTAAAGGTGCCTATATCCAGTCCCGCTCGGAGGTGGAGGTGGTAGAACTGCAGCATCTGGATCTGGGAGGGGAGGCAGAGTCCCTGGCCCTCGTTGACCTCATAGGCGCAAGCGGAGTGGATAAGAGCAGCGCGCTCCGGAGGGTGAATCGCTCGGGGAGGGTGATGGTGAGCCCGACTGGGAGTGTTTTAAAGGAGGCAGGGAGGGAGGGGAGTAAAGCGCCGGCCTGGAACCGTACCTCGGCAGCCCCGGGAGCCCTCCGATTCTGCCCGAGCCGTCCTTAGCAGCACTTCAGGGTGCGTGACCCAGGTCACTGTGTTTGTGTCCTTGTAACTCACAGGCAACCGTGACAGGCTCTACCGAGCAGTTTTAATTCACCCGGATGACTACCAAGCAGGCTGGCAGCAAATCAAACTGGAAGTTCATTGATAAGACATAATTCCATTTTGAACAACAAAAGGATTGTTCCCCCCGTGGGCATCCCGGCCCCTGGGGGAGGTGACCATAGAAACGGGTCTGCACGCTGGGCTCAGTGTCCTATGGGAGCTGGTGGGACCTAGTCAGCTCCCGAGATAAGGCCGCGCAGGACACGGCTCCCCGTCGCTTTGCTGTGGGTGGGATGGGACCCGTTCACTGTGTCCACACTGGGTATCCTAGCTGATCAGGAGCTCTGATCGGCGAGTGTACACGTCTTTGGAGAAAAAGGGCCAATGAATTATTAATAAGTGCTGCTCACAGGGCTGTCTTTCACAGCTTGAGGACTGGCGACGGGGAGATAACGGCGAGAGTGGCAGCAGGGGACATGCCTGGGGACCACTGAGTCACACACACCCCCCGCTCTGGCGTCAGCGTCTGACGGCCACTAACCCTGCTGCCACATCGCATCTTGAAGTTTGTTAATGAA